CGTCGTCCGTGGGATTCGAACTCTAGACCTGCCGCTTGGGGGTGTAGCAACCCCACCACTTCACTAGGTCGCCACACACCAGTTTTAAACTTATAGTTTTTAATTTAATATTATAGTTTATATAAAAAATAGTATTTAAGAGGGATGAGATATTATGATATTGCTTATATAAAACTTTTAGTAAAAATTTATTTATTCTTAAAATTTGTAGAAATAAATTACTTAGGTAATTATCTATTTACCAATAAAAAAAAAAAATCATCTTTAAAAAAAGATTATAAAGATATGAGCTTTCAAAATCTACTTATAAAATGCTATATTTTTTATATTTAGGGGTATTATAATACATATTGAATAGGGTTAAATTAATATCAGAAATTACAGTATTACAAAAATTATATATACATATAAATAAGTATACTACAGAACTATACATAATTATCCTTTCTTTTTTTACATAACCATTTTTTTTTTTTTTTTGCTTACTTTCTTCTTTTTTTCTTTTTTTCAGTTTTCTAATTAGTTCGCTTCTGGGCTACTTCTTTTTTTCTTTGTTTAATACTTTCTGCTTTGTTCTTTGCTAACTCATTTATTTTTTTTAATATTTGTAAAGATTCTTCATTAGTAAGAAGTTAAGTGAAGGTAAAGTTTTTTTTTTTTCAGCTAATGAAACTCTAATTTATTTGTTTGTGTTGGAGCTTAAGAAGGATACTTAAGAGCTATTTTTAATGGACAAGTACCGAGATTTTTAAATATTTCAAGTTCTTCTTTTAGTTGCATATTCTCTTTTCTTAAAATGTAAATTTCTGCTTCTAATAATTCAATCTTCTCATTAGTACTAGCATGACTTAAAGATTGTAAAGAAAACAATGAAGAGAAAGAAGAAGACAAAGAAGAAAAAAACAATAAAGAGAAAGATAATAATAATAATAATGAGGAAAAGAAGACAATGAAGAGAGAAGAGAAAGAAGATAATAAAGAGAAAGAAGATAATGATAAAGAAAGCACTAAAGAGAAAGAAGAAAATAATGAAAAAGAAGAAAAAAACAATAAAAAAGAAGATATTAAAGAAGATAGTGTTGATATTAAAGATAGTATAAAAGAATAATCACTTTGTCGAGAGAATAAAGGTAATATATTAATTCATTTAGTAGATAAAGAGGAATTGAGACAATAGAAGCTAATAGTATTAGGGTTAAAGAGCCAAATTCCTGTAGCTTTAAATGTATTAGCTATTATTGCAGAAGTATAAGTTTTAATAAATACAAGACTAAACATTTTAGTGAATATATACTTAGTCACCAACTTGTCACTAGTTGCAAAATAAAGTTTATTGCAATTTTTACTATATTTAGTTTTAAGTTTAGCAAAAAGAAGTTTGGAATATGTGTTATATATAGTAGAAGTGTATAAAGTAAAATTCCATTTTTATGCCAAAAATTAACACTTATATAATTTATATGACTGCAAGTATTAAAAAAACAAAATAACAGAAAGGAATAAAACTTATAAAATGTTCTATATATATTTGGAAGAGTTTTTCATGCATATATCTCAAGTTGGTAAAACTTATAACTATACCAGATAGAGTACTGTTTAACAAACCAGGAATTGCATGAATGTCTTTGTATATAATTAAAGAAAAGATATAATTGCCAAAAGCCAAAATTATTAGTGTAACAAAAATATAGTTATGTGAATTGCTATAAGCAATTTTATAAATCTGATAGGTATCTTTGATGGCAATAACTTTTTGAATCTTGGAATCTATAATAAAGCCAGTTTTGTTTATATTCTAAATACAATCTGAGATAAGTAAATTATCTTGAATTATTTTATTTAGTTTATCAAAATAATCCTTAATAATAATTGGATTAGATTTTTGTATATGTATCTCTAACAAGACTTAAGGCACTTAAAAAGATAATTTAAGATAGTCTTTTATAAAATATTTCTACCAAGCTTTTTCAGATTCACTTTCTTTGAAAGGATAATCATAGCCATCTCTATTTATAATATTTATTACATAGTAGTTTACTCCAGATTTTATAAGACCAAATCCTAGTTTTTGTATATTTATATAATAACATACTAATTGTTCTTTTTCATAGCTACTCAAAACTGTTACAAGGCCAGATTTGTCAGGTATACTATTTTTTTTTAAAGGCACATCTTAAAGTTGCCTTTGCAAGACCAAATTTTGATACAGCTACTTATATACTAGATAGGTTGGGGTTATTAAATACTTTAAAAGTTAATTTTATAGTATTTTTATATGTAACTTTTGTATTTATTAATAGGATTTTCAGTTATATTTTTTGGGTAATTGGATTTTATATTGCTTGACATTTTGTATTTTTTTTTTTCTTTGTTTATTTTTTATTTATTTTTTTTTAATTGCAAAATTTTTAACATGTTTTTTATATTTTTAACATGCCTATAGATCAATAGTTTGTTACAAACATGATCATTATTGTGTTTGTATACAATTATAATTGTGGTTATGATTGTATACAATTATAACTATGATTGTGTTCATATGCAATTATGATTATAGTTGTGTTTATATATAATCACAATCATGATTATGATTGTATACAATCACAATCATGATCATATTTGTATATAATTATAATTGTAGTTATGATTGTATACAATTATAATCATATTTAATTGTATACAAATAAATAAATAAAGCTAGACAATTGCAAAATTTAATCTAACTAAATCTGTAGTTAATAAATTATTTTAACTATATTTGTAATTAAATAAAAGCATTTTTGAATATTAATAAAATAAGAGCCTGTGATTAATAAATTATTTAACTAAATTTGTAATCAAACAAAGGTATTTCTCAAATATAAATAAAATAAATTTTATACAATATTTTATTTCAATATAAAAAATTCAAACATTAAATATGTCATAATTGCAAAATGAAATTTAAGTAATCCAATTTTAAGCCTTTGTGATGATTTAATAAAAAATATCTATAATACAGCTGAATTTAAAGAACAGATGTACTATATGCTTCCATTTCTTTATGATTGATTAAAAATAAATATAAAATACTTTTTAAAACTCATTATTACAGATACAACTATTGATTCATTTAATAATTATAGTGCTCATATTAGAGAATATAATCAAATTAAAGATTTTGTTATTTTTTTTGCAAAAGTTATTTATTATTTTAAAGATCTAGAAAAAAAATAGACTATCTTTTATTTATGGATAAAAGATTTAGTAAAGTCACAGGTGATGTTTTTGATATAAATAATAAATATCATTTTAATATTAAGGGTTTTGAAATGTGTAAATTCATTGAAATGTTTTTTACAATAGAAGAATTTGAAGAATTTAATCATAGTTTTAAAAAATTTTATGAAGACTGTTATCATTTACATAGAAATGAGGAACTTAGTGTGTATAACAGGCTTTTTCATCTTCTTGATCCTGTTCCTGAACTTTTGCCTAGATTTTAATTCATTACTTAATTCAGTTAGTATATATATAAATAAAATTGATTAATAATTGGACCGGAATGTATGTACTAACCTTATTAGTTAGGTCGTATCAGATTCTTATGAGTGGGTGCCAAAAATGTTGGCAAATTTATGTTTTTTGGTTGTAGCTTGAAAACTATCGCTTCAAATAAAACGAAATTAATATCATTTGATTCGTCTCAATAAGAGGATTCGTATGATACCAATAATACTCAATTCCGATCAGGGTATCACGAGATATCATCAAAAAACGTGAGTGCGTCACAATACCCACCTGCGTCATAATACCCACCCTCACCTTATATTCTGACTTTATATTATTCACAGAAAGATAAACATACCTTCTTTTCAAGGAATGCTGACCGAAGAACAATTAAAAATGACATCTTTTCCACTGTTTAATGGGATATTTACATCTCATCACATAAAGCATTCTTGGTAAGTTTTCTTTTCTATAAAGCATTGATTATTTTGATTCGATAGTAAAAATTATTCTGTACATAGGGGAGAGATCCAGGCTCTTTCAAACAAAGACGCACGTAATGAAAAATCAAATCCGTATAAAAAAGCTCGAATAGGCAGGAAAGTCGACATGAAAGGAACATCATTAAAAACATCAAATAAATTTGAGGCAATTTTTGGGGAGGCTGCAGGTGGATTAGGTCCATTTGGTGCTGCTGCAGCTTGTCGTAAGAAGCGATTCTTAGACAAAGTAAAATTGATGGTTATCATGCGAGATAGTTTAAATCGCCTGTTTAAAGATTGTGACTATGTGTCCGATGAAGAAATATCAGAAGTTATAGTTTACGCCTGGCTTCAGTTTGGTAGGTTTAATATGTCAAAAAATAAAATTTTATAATGTCTCTATTAACTGTTTTTATTTTAGGTTTAGAGCTGAACTTTTACGCGATGTATAGATTTGGGTTACTAGATAGATGCAGAATCTGCCGAAGATAATTGTTGTAATATATTGGGAAGATGCATACTGCATACTCAAATTGCTTGAAATAAGTTGAAAGTTTTTATTTATGACAATTTGCTAATAACTATCTAATCTATCTTTCAAATATAGAAAAATTGCTCGAGACTGAGATATCTATAATAAATCTTCTTTCAAGCAACACACGAGGAAAAAGGAGACAAATTGCATTGGAAAACAAAGCGGAATTAAATGACAATCGCTCTCCCTAAAATGAACCATTATTTGATCTATAGTATAATGAAGTCGCACTTTTTTAATATACACAATATAAGAAAATAATTATATAGCATTTTTTTTGTTTCAATAAATCCAACTCAGATTGCAAATTAGATTATCCTTTTATATAGATTTTCGAGTTATGCGTGACGATTTGTCACTTTTACCAAGAAAAGAGGTCAGCTAAAGCCGTGTATCCATGTGATCAATTTCATTAAATCAATGATCACATTTATTAAATTTGTTTTTTTTTATAATTTTTTTTTTATGAATATTCTCAGCAACTATTCAACTAACCTCAATCAATGTTTTCATTTTAATTCTACTGAAATGTTGATTTTAAAAAATCATCGAATTAGGTAATTGCTGATAGGGATGGTAGGTTTTTTTAAAACCAGGTTAAACTTGGTTTAAGGGTTTGGCTTTTTTTAAACCTGGTTTGGGTTTTAAACCCGCCAAAAAACCAGTTTAATTACAGTATAGCCAAGCCGATCTAACTGGTTGGTTTAACTACAATGTACAACCCAGTTTTTTTAGTTATTTTCAAAAAAAAAACGCGGTGATCCAAAATAGATCTGCAGCATCATTTTCGGGAATCCAAAATTTCTGGCTCACTAACTTTATTTTTTTTTCCAAATACACTTATTTATTTATATTTATCTGTTATTGTTATTATTATCCATTGTGTTACTTTAATCGTTATATATTCTACAATTCCCTTAATTTTCTACAAAACTTTTCAACACTATAATTCTTCGTACCAAAACAAATATTAAGTAAATATTTACCGAATCCTTTCTAAATCGACATACACTATTTTTGAACTTTTTTTTTTATTAACGTTAGATATTCCTAAAGTTTCATATCGAAACCAGCTAATTACTGTAAAATCAACAATAATGTACGTGATATATAACAATCTATTATAATGGGTGGTTTATGCAGCACAATACAGTAAATGTTTACTGATGCGATTTTGAATTAATTTGATCGTTGTAAAAAAGGATATTTATCATCTACTTCAACATTCTTCTGCATAGATCCAAAATCACTATCATAAAAAAAAAAGAAAAAAAAAAAAAGCAAAGGCGCACTTATAGGGATGTACATTTAAAGAGTGCAAAATATACATACGGAACTCTTATATTATGGAACAAAGCTATACAGCACTTAGGAGGAATTTATATAAGGCATACATTTATAAAGAACTGTCCATATGTATAATCGTTATAACAAGTATATAATCAAATAATCAAATTTTTTTTTGGAAAGTAATATTTTTTTTTTTATTTAAAATTTTCAAAATGCTTTATTGCATTTATATATCTTTGATTATCGACAAAATGTAGTTCTCAGGATTTAAATCGTGATTGGTGTATTCAAAGCAACCTAGTTATTATTCAATAAATAAAGAATCTAAAAAACACATCTTTCGAACCCTTAATTTACATCTCTATAGAATAAACCCACATAACTACGCATATTGAGATACCATATATATTATTAAACTCGAATTTTAAGAGGTAAATTAGGAATAATGATGTACATACAAATTAGAGGTGCAGACTTTTTAATTACGGTATTACCTAACAATATAATGCCCTTAAGCATTTACGTGCACCTTTAGATTAATGATGTAGATCAATGCAGGGGTGTTACAGAAAACATTGATCGTGATGGGATCATTCTCGTCATAGGTTTAATAAAGAAGTTTAATATATTAGTTAATAGATTTGTAAGATTATATATATATATATATATAAAAAACAAATCGACATTTTAACTATTTTTTTCACGAAAAAAAAAAAAATAAAAAAAAATGACCACCAGTTTCTTAAAGCAACTTTCTAATAATTTAAACGACCTTCTTAAAAGTAGTGATGAATATAATGTTATCATTGAAGTTGGTCAAGCGCCAGATAATCAAATGTTTAAAGCACATTCAGTGATCTTAAATTCTCGATGTTCGTATTTTAAAGATAAATTAGGCGCAGTTACTTATAACGAAAATAATGTGAAAATGATTAAACAAACTGATATTTCCGTTGAAGTATTTAATGTTCTTATTAAGTAAGTATCAATAATGATCAACATGAAATATGTATTATGTATAACGTTAATACGTAGAAATTTTTATTAAAAAATTTTAATAACACATTAAAATATTAATATAAATTTTTATAATCTATAATAATTTTAGGTACATTTATGATGGTACCATTTCTTTAGAAAAAGTTGATATGTCCATTATATTTGATCTTTTAATTGCTTCTAATGAATTTGGATTTAAAGAATTAGTTAAGCATATTCAAACACTTTTCATAGAAAATTATACTTCATGGCTACATCTTAATTTTTCTCGTGTATACCAATCAAGTTTTAAAGATAATAGCTTTAAAGATTTACAACAATTTTGCGCGAATATCATTGCTAAACATCCAAATATTATTTTTGATTCAGAAGAATTTCTTACTTTACCAGAAAATATATTAATTTTTATTTTAAAACTTAATAATTTACAAATAGATGAAGGGAAAATTTGGGATTATGTTATTAAATGGGGAATAGCACAAAATCCTTCTTTATCACCTAATCCTGATCAATGGACAGATTTAAATTTTTTAACTTTAAAAAATACTTTAAAAAATTGTCTTCCTCTAATTCGTTATTTTCAAATTTCTGGTGAAGATGTTTTCGAAAAAGTTCGTCCTTATCAAAAAATTCTTGAATCAACTTTATGGACAGATATTATATTGAAATTTATGGCACCAAAAAAAGCTACTTCTATTACTTCAATCTTACCACCTCGTAATTATATTTTATCACCATCTCCTTTATCATACGAAAGTTATAATTACAACAATGAAATTAAATTTAATAAAATATTAGCATTAAAAAAAAGTGGAGAAAATCATCTTATGATGGGAAGATATGAAGAATCACTTATAGATTTAACAAATTTATTAATAATCGATCCAAATAATTCATCAGCATTAAAACTTCGTGGAGAAACTTATCGTATGTTAAATAGATATGAAGATTCACTTGAAGATTTAAATAAATCTTTAAAAATTGATCCAAATAATTCAACAACTTTAAAAAGTCGAGGAAAAACTTATTATTTAATGGGTAAAAGTAAAGAATCTTATGCTGATTTAGCTAAATCATTACAAGTTAAATCTAAATCAAGAGATGCAATTTCATTGAGAGATCGTGGAGAAACTTATCGTATGATAGGAAAATATAATGAATCAATTATTGATTTAACAAAATCTTTAGAAATTGAACCAAATAATGCTTTTGCGTTAAAAAATCGGGGTGAAACTTATCGTTTAATGCGTAAAGATAAAGAATCACTTGCTGATTTAAATAAATCTTTGGAAATTGAACCAAATGATGCTTTTGCATTAAAAACTCGTGGGGCTACTTATTGTATGATGGGTAGATATGAAGAATCATTAATAGATTTAACTAAATCTTTAGAAATTAATCCAAATGACACATCTGCATTAAAAAATCGTGGAGAAACTTATTGTATGATGGGTAGATATGAAGAATCATTATTAGATTTAACAAGATCTTTAA